ATCCATCAGCTATACAAAATAGAAGTACGATCTGGGCAGGGAAAATAGGATTCATGCTTTCCAGAGTAACAGAAAAACTAAAGTGGAAAAGACTATAAAAAAATTTCTTCATGATGGGGCACCTGGGTGGCTCAGTTGTTGGGTGTCTGCCTTTGGCTCAGGTCGTGATCCCGGGGTCCTGGGTTCAATCCCCACGTCAGGCTCCCTTTTGGCGGGAAGCCTGTTTTTCCCTCCCCTGCCCCACCCTGTGTATGTTCCCTATCTCACTGTGTCTCTGTCAAATAAATAAAAACTTTAAAAAACTCTTCATGAATAAAACTGGAAGAATTGATGGTTTGGAAAAGCTAAGTAACCTGGCGTAAGCAGCGTATTTAGAGCTGCAAGATACAATATCTGTAAAGGCAGAAACTGACACAAAAATATAAGCAATGATAAAGTAGTCTTCTGGTAAGAGGTAGATCGGAAACAATCTTTCAGCTGCCCTTATTCACAAGTTACCAGCTGTCATATTTATAAACAGTACAATTTAAGATGGATATTCTGAACCAAATTTGCCACCTAAAGGGCCTGCATTTAAAGGGAGTATTAAAAACTAATGGAACTGCTAGGTTAAGTCTTACGGAAAAATACTAAATCTATCTTCCTTGTACGTTGCTGCTGTGCTAACTAACATGCAATTCTACACTGTACTCAGCCCATTTGCTTCTGGTCACACTGTTAACACAGACTCGACAAATCTTCATTTTTAAAGTCTCCCTTTAATTTAGGAATTTGGATTATAAGGCTGTCAATGTCCACCCTGATTTTGCTTAAAGGGATCTAGTGTAACTTTTATTACCCTACTTTTGTTTTTAAAAACATACTTTAATGTGCTTATTTTCTTAAAGGTTTGTAGATGAACTTTTAAAGTATGGGTTATTTATTTTTAAAGGATTTTATCTACTTGTCAGAGAGAAAGAGAGAGCACAAGAGGGAGCAGCAGGCAGATTTGGAGCAACAGGCTCCCGCTGAGTGAGAGGCCCGAGTCAGGACTCAATTCCAGGACCCAGGAATCATGACCCAACTGACTGTGCCACCCAGACATCCCTCATTTATTTATAAGTAATCTCCACTCCTGAGGTGGGGCTTGAACTCATGACCCCAAGATCAAGAGTGATATGGTCCACCAACTATGCCAGCCAGGAAACCCACTGTGCTTATTTATTAAAAAGAAAATAATTTTCTCCTTCAAATGTTCAAAACATCAAGTTAGGCATGGATTTGCTATTTCGGAGTATGGGAATGGATATCTGGGCAAATTTTTCTTTCCAAGTCATATTAAATTACTAGCTGACATTTAATGAATTTTGCCAAGGAATAAAATAATCAAGAAGTAAAAAGGTACAAAAATTTACCAGATATCATGACCTTCAAAATAGTCAACAACTAAACTTTTACACTTAGGAAGTAAATAATTCACCAAACCTCAGCAGTTAACTGGTAACTGCTTTTGATTGAAGCTAAATTGGCCTATTTGTAGCTCACCACCTTAATTTCTACAACAAATGATTTAATTTTGAAAATTCAAAAAGCAATCAAGTAATTTCAAAACTCTGTGGGACCCTGGACAAGTCACCTCTTGGCAATCATTTAAAGGGGAGGATTATGACAGACCATTTCTACTCAGAAATTCACAGACTCCTGAGTCCCTAAAGCTGTTATGCTTATGCATTTTGGGAGGAAGCTGGTCCAGAGCTTGCACTAAATTCTTATAGGTTGTCCAAAAACAAACTTGCAATATACTAGAGGATCACTTCTAAATTGCTCTGGGATCTAAAGACTGATACTCCTTTGTGGTAGACAAAACTCTAAGATGGCTCCCAAGATCCCCTGATGCACATGCCCTTTATAATCCCCTTTCCCCAAGTGTGGGCAAGATCTGTGAATATGATAGATATTATAGGTTACGGTATAGGACAAGGGGGAAGGGATTTTGCAGGTGTAATTAAGGTACCAATCGTCTGGCTTTGAGGTCAAGAGAGAGATTATCCTGGGTGAGCCTGACTTAATCGGGTGAGCCCTCAAAAAAGGTTTAGGGCCTTTTCTGAAATCAGATTTTCCTGCAAGCCTTGAAGCAGCAAGCTGCCTTGAATTCTATAGCTGCCAGAAACAGGTTCTGCCATACAAGCATGGAAGAGGACCCTGACCTTCAAAGGCTGTGGCTATGGCTGAAACTTGACTGACGCCTTGTGAGGCCTTGAGCACTGGATCTAGCTAAACTGCACCTGGGCTCCCAACCTGTGGCAACTATCAAATAATAAATATATGTTGGTTTAAGCCATAAGTTTGTGGTAATTTGTTATACAGCAACAGAAGATACATCACTTCTTAAATTACAGAGCTTAGCTCAAATTTCTCTTTTTTTCTTGAGGGAACTGAGGCAATGGAGAATCCAAATAGGGTACTCCACAAATTAATGTTACAATAAAGCCCATCACTTTGCCGTGTAATGATACCTCTTAAGAAACAAAAAAACCTATGAAATGCAGTCACCAGGTAAGCCTAAACTCAAAGTTAAAAAGTCTTCCAGATCCATTTTTAATAATTAGTCAATAGTTTTACTTATAGGAATGTTCTGGTTTTGGTTCCAAAGTAATGTGGAAAGTACTAATTCCATTATGAGACAAATTAGAGAAGAAAAAATATCTTTAAAGATATATTTTAGACTAGGGCTACTCACACATTTGTAATAGAACATTCTCATTTTTATACAACTTGAGAAGGGCTTGATGCTCTGAAAAAGCAGTTTAAGACATGAAAAGCCAGGAACACTAAGCGTATTAAAGACTTACTATTCCCCTTTCCCCCTTCCTCACAAATAATGTTCTATGTTAAAAATGAATAAAGTTTCTTAATCAGTGGAGAATAAACAAAGAGTTGTGTTTAAATCTGCTAACTATGATGAACTGTTAACTGTGCTGAAACAAATTTCAGACAACGAAAAATCCCTCCAATCATTCTATTACAAAATCAGTGTCCTGTATGAGACCACAGGTAGAAATGAAATATTTAGACTATCAGGTAGCCCTTGTATTCACAGATGTTGATTATCATCCACAACTAGGATGTATTACAGGATTAACTATTTTATGAACTCATTTAGCCTATTATAACCTTACTTTGAGCTAGATCTGTTTACTAAGAAACATGGATTATACACACAACTGTTATGGTCAACTTCTGTTAATTTAAGCCTTCCGTAAAAAAACAAGCTCTGTGTGTAATCTGCCATTTATAGCCATGTGTTGAAGTCACAGTACTATGTAAAATATAGCTCAAATAGTCTCTCTCAGTCCACTTTGCTAGAAGAATAATAAAGAGGTCAAAATGCTGGGCTGGACAGGGAGAAACCAGAACCAAAGACAGTGTCACCTGAACAGATCCAGCGAGTTAGAGTACTAGTATGTCTACACTAAAAGTACAGAATTGAAGAAATTTCTTATGTTGGTTCTAGGTCAAACACTTAAGGAAAATCTAAAATAAGCCATTGATTTATACTCTAACTTTACGTTTATATTTATATATATTAAAATCCAAATAGCACACACACACACACCCCATGTAAAACATTGCTTTAAGTTTTAATGTTTATTTCCCCAAGACAGCCTAGCCTGCATTCTACTTGGATAAATTTTACAAGCTAGTTTTCTGCTGCTTCTAGTTTTAAACTTTAACCATGTTTCTGATGACAAGGAATGCTGCAAAAATACTCTAGTTCAACAAAGAGTTATGATCACAAAATAATTTTTATCCATTCTACAGTGTTTCAGAATTACCAGTTGATTTTAAACACAAAGTAGATATAGATGCTAATGGTGGCTAATCTGGTATGTTTCTTATAGCAAACTGTTGTTCATGCAACACTTGTGCTCAAAGGGGAAGGCACAGGATTTCCTACAATGAGCCACCTTATAAAGAGTTCTTTTTGTACAAATTAATTTATGTCACATTTAATTTAGTGTGCATAACCTCAAAACTGAGGTATTATTCCAATTTATAAAAACCACTTGCATAACTTTTATGCAAGTTTTAAAAATACAAAGTTTTCTCCCTAAAGTGGCTCAAAATAGATTGTTCATGGCTGCCTACATCTAAGATAAAAAGATTCTAAAACAATTGAACAGATTAGGCATATTATTAAAGGTGTTCAAACCATTACTTGATTTGTACATCTACTCAAACCTCTTCATCGGTCTTTATTCAGCAGTACATATGCACCAAATTCCATTTTAGAAGTTTCCATATCATTTTCATAGAAAACAAAGTTTGAAAACAAGTAACATTTAAACACAGCACGGTATTCTACCACAACTGAAACTTTTTTCTTCTTCTTCTTTACAGGACTCAACAAAATCTAAAAATGAACTATGCTGTAGATTTACCTCATGCAAAGATCTTTATGTTATCTCTGAAAATGAAAAGGATGGCTTTTTAAAGCACATTTTACTGTTTTATACTATTATGGCAACTTGTGTACTGCAACACAGTCTATTTTGAGGGAAATTTATGATTTTTTTCATGCAAAAATCTACACAAATTAGTTTTGATGATATGGAAAGCTTTTCATAGCATCAAACATTCATCTGGTGCAAATGCACAGGGAAACCTTCCTGAAAAGTTTTCTGACTTGAAAAGCAACTAAAAAGCCATACTAGGTAAAGTAAATAAAAACTAAGAAGAAAAAAAAAAGGAGGGGGTGGGTAAAGGGAAGAGGGGGAGTAGAAAACACAGGCTGCAGAGTAAACCAATGTCTGCTGCTAAACCGGTCTTTGTTTTCATGTCCAGTGTACATTAACACTTATGATCTCACTTTGATGATTTACTAGGTTTGTTATCAGCCCCCTGAAGGCGAATCAAGCTTGCATGCGTTCACATACAGCACCACAACCATACTCTCGTACACAGTCACTCCAGGACTAGGAGTCTGCTTCATGAGTGAAGAGCCCTAGATTTGAAAGATGAACCTGACTCCCTATCACTGAGCCAGACATTCATTCAACATTGTCCACTCACACACTGCTTCATAGCAAGGCCTGGGCTCGGTTTCCTTTGACTTATATGGGCATCGTATCCTCTTTTATGCTTACAAGGCTTGAAGATGACAGTACTGCACTTTCCCCTCAAATGATACAGAGTAAGTCAATGTTCCTTCTCAGGCACTGAAGATCTGTGACCTGTAGCCCTTTTTACTTTGAACAACCTAAATAAGCATTCATGTAAAGTTTTCGTTACATTTTGCCACTCATTCTCACTCGCACCCACTCGCCATCTTGACCTCATTTGGGCATTTTCTGTGATTCCAAATGAAATCTTCACATTTTCTTTCCCGATTTAATGCAGCAGCAGATCCCATGAGCCAAGCTTGATGGATCAAACCTTTTTATATATATGTATATATATATATATCTCAGTGCTGCATTGTACCTAACTTCCACAACATCTTTCTAAAACTGGAACCCTTCTGTTGGTACGTTGGCAGATGAATTGAAACCAAATGTTCCACCTTGTATTGCCTCTGGAACAAGGCTAGGATCTTCATCAATCTAAAGGAAAAAAGAAAAAATAAGTGATAATTAGTTTTAAAGGTTACATAAATAACATTATAGAAATATTCTCATTTCCATAAGAAACTATGAGAGAGATGATGAGAGCCAACATTGTCCTACCACCTCTTTAGAAACACTTCGTGAAGGCTTTTTCTTGGAGGACACCAAAATGAGAGGAAACTTAAGAGAATATGCAAGATAGGTATCTTCCAAAAGAGTGAAATATAAGTAATAAACTGGAAATGGTCCTACACCTCAAACTGAGAGGATACTCTAATATCCCTTTTACCTGGGCAAATAGATAAAAGTTGATGACATTAAAAAACTTAATGCTGTCACTTTTGGAGAGTAAATGTAATCTTTAGTTAATTTTTTACTAGCAACTGGAGACAAATGACATCTGGGCTTAAAACAGTAAAATAATAGCTGTGCTATAATGAGTATGATATATCTACAGGTTCTTTTTTGAAATATCACAAAAATCACTGACCTATAGTATAGTTCTTATAAATATGCTCATCTGAATTATTCTTTTCACAGTGTTAAGAGATTAACAGAGAACTTCATGTTAAGGTATTAGAAATCGTAATGTCTTGTGTATACCTAACTGCAAATTAGGATTTCCAAAAATCCAACTTTAGAACATGTGATAAAAGCTTCCCTTAAGAGAGTATGTTTTTCTGAATTTTATTTCTGATTGATTTAACTAGCATTATATTCTAAATAGGACTTAGGTTGATCATCTATAAGGAAACAGTCCACAGATTTTCTTTTCTAGTATTGGCTGTATGCCAAGTTAATGTTTAAATCATATACACTTAAGAAAATACTTAGTAACATTCCACTTTTTGATAATATGGAAAAGTTTCAAGGAATATGAGTTATTTTTTGAAAACATGAGAATTATCAAAAATCCACTGGTGGCTATATCTAATCATAATTTTCTAAGGAATAGCTGCTTTTAGATTTATTTTTCCAAAGGAGCAACATTAAAAATAAGTTAATACTTTAATTTCAACTACCATATACTGACAATATGAAGATACTCTTGCATACTACACCTTACATTATATGTAACTTATCCTTCTTGATGATTTACTGTTTCCATTTTATGTACCTTCAAATTTATTTTTGGTCATCTAACAAAAATAACAGTGACAGTATCTTCAAATATAGATGAACTATTGTCATTAAGGATTTATTATAGAATATACCAGTATCACTGTTTTGCTTATAAATACGTTATGCTATTAACAATATACAATTTGAGAACTATAAAGACATCAAGTGAAAACAGAGCCTGATTTGTCAAGTGTCGAAAAATTCTTATCATAACTCAACAGCAAAAACTACCACCCAATTAAAAAATGGGCAAAAGACTTGAACAGACATTTCTCCAAAAGATATACAAAAAGTAAGTAGGTACATGAAAAGATGCTCAATATCATTAGTAATTAGGGCAATGCCAATTAAAACCACAATGAGTGTTATTACCTCACACCTGTGAAAACGGCCATCATTAAAAAGACAAGAGTTAACAAATGCTGGTATGGATATAGAGAAAAGGGAAACCTTGTGCATTGTTAGTGGGACTGTAAATTAGTACAGCCACCATGGAAAACAGTATTTCCACTAAAAAATTAAAAACAGAACTATCATATGTTTATTCAGTAATTCCACTTCTAACAATATATTCAAAGGAAATGAAAACACTAACTTAAAAAGACATTTCTAACCCTATGTTCACAGTGGCATTATTTACAATAGCCAAGGCATGGAAATAACCTAAATGTGCACCAAAAGATGAATGGATAAAGCAAATGTGATATATATACACAGTAGAATATTACAGACTAAAAGGAAACCCTGCCATTTGCAACAACATGTATAAACACTGAGAGCATTTAATGCTAAGTTAAATAAATTTGTCAGACAGAAACACAAATATTGTATGACCTAACTTATATGTGGAATCCTAATAAAAAAGCTCATAGGAAAGATCAAACTTGTGGTTACCATGGGTAAAGGGTAAGAGCAGAGAAAAGTGGAGGAAGGTGGTCAAAAACTATGAACTTCCAATAGTGAGATTTAAAAAACAAAAGCTATTTTACAAGCAAAGACCTTCAGCATTCCTGTAAAATAAAAAATCCTCATCTATTTTTAACTACTAATGGCAATAAATCCGTAAAAAGGAAAAAAAAAATTCTTAATCCTTTTTTTGCCCTTAGAACCAGTACTTTTTAATGCCCTGAGGGACTTTAAAATATTTCTGAAAGTGACATTATTTTAATTACATTCCAAAAAAGTGTATGTCCTAGCTTATATTATTTCTAGACTTATGTTTGTACATAAAACTAATAAAACCATAAAATTATTAAATACATCATCTGAAGAGAAGAACTGATCAATGATCTCATAGGCCAATTTGTAGATGTCTTCATTTTCATGATTTTGAAGTTGTTCAATTTTCTCCAGTCCTGCAAGAAATTTTATGAAGTGAAACAATGGTAATATTTAAAACATAAGAACAAAAAATTTACAATAATCTTGGGACCACATAATCCCAATTTTGGGACAGTTAAATCTGTGATTTTTGGGACTCTATTCTAAAGGTGAATTTCTTAAAAAGGCTTTATGCACAAAAATACAGCATATTTATCTTAAAAAGTTAACCACCTGAGTGTTTAAATTCGTATGTTTAAGCAAGCAACGGACACCTCTCTATTCAGATTACTGTATAACCAATGTTTATAAGGAATAATAACATGGATTACTTTTGTTTGTTACAAGTTAAAAGCATATTCTTTTTACTTTCTAGCTTCTGCCAAGTTTTTCTAACGATACATGTAAAAAAATAATGAAAAAACTGGTGATTAATAAATATGAATGTCAAGACATCTGTTAAGTATTATGGAAAATGATCAAGATCAACCACAGTACTTCAGGGGGAAGGGGAATTTCCCCATAAACACTAATGAGCTTATTAAATCATAGGTCAGAAATATTACTAAGAATATATAAACTTAACTGATAAGCAAAATGCATCTTATTTTGCTTTATAGGAGTAATAATTTTAAGGTTTCTGAAATAAAGTGAAAACTGCCCTTTCATGAGTGTTCTTCTTTATCTATTCCTTACATGGGAGAAGTTGTTTTGGGCTCATTTTTCACTCTACACATTCTTTTTTTTTTTTCTTTTTTCACTCTACACATTCTATGTAGTGAGCCCGCCTTAAGTAAAGAATTTAGCTAGGGACGTCTGGCTGGCTTGGCCAGTGAAGTATGCAACTCTTGATCTCGGGGCTGTTTGAGCCCCATGCTAGGTATGGGGATTGCTTAAAAAGAAAATCTTAAAAAAAAAAAAAAAAAAGAAAAGAAAAGAAAAGAATTTAGCCACTATGATAGGGTGAGGACTTGTTCTTTTCTGGGCTTCAGAAGCATAAAATTAAAATGCCTGCATGATAATTCCACCAGATGTTTCATGTGTACTTACTACTCAAAATGTCCAAACACAATTTATTACTTGCCTTTCCTCAATTAAACTATTTGTTCTACTGTATCCTTACTTCATGATAATTAATAACTTGAAATTGGAGACAAAGCCTAATAAGCTCCCCTTTCCCTCAATACTCTATCATCAAATCTCAAAAACCTCAAAGTCTATCTCTTAAATCCTGTCATCATTTACTGTGGCCCAGACTGCTATATACCTTCCTAACTGGTTTCCTGCCTCTTGTCTCCAACAGTCTCATTTCCCTGATATCCATGCTCCATTTAAAGATACCTATCCCTTAGGTAAAATCTTTCAGTGGCTTGTGATACCCTGGGGCAGAATTCATCGGGGAAGCTTATATGATACAGATTTCTGGCCTTACTGCCAGTGGTAAGGGCAAGGCTCAGATCTGGATTTTAATTTTAATTTATAAAAATAAAATTTTTAGTAATTAAAATGTTTATGTGGGGAAAAAATACTAGTAAAAAATTTTAAACTATACTTGTTTTTAATTTTTCTGGTACTCAACTTCCCTAACACTATTAGGTTAGGTTCCCTAACACTCTTCTCCACCTCCTGTTCCTAACTTGATAGCTATGTGTTTTCTGTTGCTCTCTATGTCACTTTAGTAACTTTAAAAATACTTCTTTCTTTCAAGCCTCTGAACTACCTTCACTAAGCAAATTGAGAATATGGTTCTCCTACTCTTATAGTTACTTCTCCTTTCATTTAATTCTCAACATCTGTCAGAAATAACCTTCCTTTTGTGCTTATCCGGGTTGGTCACATTCACATTTTGGTCCACAGCTACAACTGAGTCTTCCACGTTCTATCTACACAGTAATTCTAGGTGCTGAAAGCTAAGCTGTGCTGTTTACATTCTAGGTGGCTCTGGCACAGAATCAGATTTGGGAACTACTGCCCTATAGAATAAAGAATCTGCTGTGCTACCAAGTTGTAAGACTGCAGGGGCCTGGTTGGTGGCAATATCTCCAGCCTCATATGTAGGCAGTTTCTACCCCATACTTTGTGATTCAGCAACACTGAACTACTTATAATTTGCTGAATGCTAGGTCTCACCTCAGACTTTGCTCATGGTGTTATCTCTGCCTGGAACACCTCTCATCCCTTTTTACTTTATAAATCCTTATTCATCTCTCAAAATCCAGCTCAGGTGTCACTTCCTGCTTCTTCCAGGTATTTCATTTTGTTGTACATTTCTATTAGGGTAATTAGCACATTAAATCAGTTCATATTTATCTCCATGACTGAACTACATGCCTTGAGGGCAAGGACTGTGTCTTGTTTACCACTGTTTCCCCAGTACCCTTAGCACAGTGCCTGTTCAATACATGGCAGCAATTCAATACCTATGCATATGCAAGAAGCTGAGCAGGACTGTACATATAGCATATAGTATTTACTTTATTCTGTTACTTGATAATCTAAGACAGAAAAATACAGAAGTGCTACATTAGTCAGAAAATAAATGTAGCTACAAAAAGAACATAAATGCTAAGTTAAATAAGTCAGAAAATAAATGTAGCTACAAAAAGAACATTAAAGCGTGAAATAACAGCTTATAATAAACTTACCTCCACATTCTTCTATAAGATTGGCTATGGTTTCTGCCTCATCTTCAGCCATTTTTAATATATTACTTAGTCCATCAAGTACTACTTGCACAACTTGTGCATCTTTTACAGTCAGCAAGTTGCAAAAGGGTGGAATAACATTTTGTTGAATTAGATAGGCCACCTAAAGAAAAACACCATGATAAAATAAACATAGGTGAATTTTGTTTGTGTACCATATGATCTTACTGAAATAATTCTGACTTTAAAATTTTGAGTGTGAAAACATGTCTCACGTGTTATGTTAGACCATATCAGATTAATTTATTATTTTACTATGAGATTCCTTCTCCTTTTAATGTAGTGCTTTTCTTGAACTTAGGAAAAAAACAAATGAAAATGAAGGAATCATTCAACGTCATATGAAACATTTGCCTTAAGAGTACTCTTTTCAAAGGCCCCTTCCTCCCCTTTAGGTTAAAAAATTATGAAATCTGTACAGAGGCTGGATGATATTTTTTAAAAGCTACAACTGTTCAGTGTTATGGTATCCAATGTGAGAGTGCTGTAACATTTATAACACTCAAATACCTGGCCACCTTCAATTCATTATTTAATTGGTTCTATAATATTTCTGTAATATTTTCTATCATTTTTATATTTTGTTATATTGTCATTTCCATGTACTGTATGTATATTCTGCTCTGTATTCAGATTTAAGTGGATTCATTGCTCACTACCAGTTTATAGCTTATCTGTGACAATTCTCAGCTTATTGTTTACCAGCTTTAAGTTCACTCTTTTTACCTATCTGTGAAATTTACCTGGAACCTTTGAAACTCATTTTTTTTTTTTTTGCCAGTTGGCACAATGTTAAGCTTTGTCACCCACACAACTCCAGAATGAGTGCCTCTTTAAACTTTACACCCTAGGCTCCTTATATTCCTTTTCCTTAATTCCCAGACCTAGCCTTTTGGTTTACATTAGTTCCTTGCTTTGTTTACTACTGGTAAATTTTTGTTGCTGTTTGTGTTCTCTTTGGTTATCTTCAATTGTTATGAGAATCTGTGATGCTGTTTCAGTCTGCCCTATTAAGCTAAAAAGTCCTGTTTTTTCCTATTGCTAAACCCAAATAAACCCTGACTACATATGTTTTGATCTTACCATGACCTACAAAAATTTTGTAGGCCAAGGCAGTATAACACTTCTCATCTATAAAATATAATTAAAGGAAGTCAAGGTGACCCTTTTATATGGGGGGGAAAAGAAATCACAGAATGCCTGTTATCTTGCTACTATTTTATATTATGATTTAATTGAACTCTAAATCTTAGAATTATCTGTACTGTTATTTTACCCGTTTTGAGAAATAAGTAAGAGCTGAACTTACTTGATCTTTCCTCCCACTAATGGTTAAGTTACTTATGGCCCAAGCAGCTTCTTTCTGAGTGCCAAAATCCCCCTGTAAAAGCCAAGGATACAAATTGCAACATAGTTTAAACTGATGAAAAATGTTGTCTGAAATTATACTCAACTGCTTATTTCTCCAGGTTTTTTCTAGCCTTTCTATATGCATACATAATTTTTATGTAAGAGAAGATTTTGAATTCAATTTACCCTAAACCAAACCAAACAAACAAACAAAAAAACAACACATTTACCCTAAACAAATGCAGACTCCCTTTTGTAAACTCTCCTGGCAACAAACTGACTTGGTATTACTGTTCAATTAAGTCAGATTAAATGAAGTGAGTGATAAAATAAGAAGTAAAACAAAACAAAACAAAAAAAAACCACATACATTTCAATTTAATCAAAGAAATGTCAAGTAATTCTTTTAAACATAAAACAAAGTTTTAAAAATCATGATTTCCACCATTAATGAGACTATTATATAAAAACATTACCCTCCTACATTACCTTTCAAGTACAAATTGAAAAAATATACTTAAAAATCATTTTAAAAGTCATTTTATGATTCAGTAATAAACTTAGTAATACATCTAATGACTACATGAGGTTCTCAGAGGTGAGAATCTCTGAGAACTTAACAAGAAATAATTTAAAGCTAAGGAGTATTATGTATCCTTCTAGATATTATCTTAGTAGCACATTAGTCAAAAAGTAAAAGCAGGGGCGCCTGGGTGGCTCAGTGGGTTAGGCCGCTGCCTTCGGCTCGGGTCGTGATCTCAGAGTCCTGGGATCGAGCCCCGCAAGGGGCTCTCTGCTCAGCAGGGAGCCTGCTTCCTCCTCTCTCTCTGCCTGCCTCTCTGCCTGCTTATGATCTCTGTCGAATAAATAAATAAAATCTTAAAAAAAAAAAAAAAAGTAAAAGCAATCAGAATTCTCAACAACAGTGGAATAAACAACTACAATATATCTGCTAAATAGAATAACGACCTGTTTTTAAATATAAAGAAGACTAGCAACCTGGAAAAATGCTTACAATTAAGAAAAAAACTTATATATATGAGTAACAAAAATTAATACTGTAGTGGGATATCTATTTTTATATATCAGACTGATAAAATGCAAAATATCTATCAGTGAGGCTGGTAGGACTGTAAAATGGTACAATCCTTACAGAAAGGGAATAATACTATACAGCAAAATTTACATATATGCCTTTATATAACCAAAAAACCCCAAACAAACAAAAATACTAAAGTAATTTCCCCAAATAAGAAACAAACAGAGGGGCGCCTGGGTGGCTCAGTTGAAGCCTCTGCCTTCGGCTCAGGTCATGATCCCAGTGTCCTGGCATTGGGCTCTCTGCTCAGCAGGGAGCCTGCTTTCCTTCCTGTCTCTCTGCCTACTTGTGATCTCTGTCAAATAAATAAAATCTTAAAAAAAAAAAAAAAAAAAAAGAAAGAAACAGAAATAAATAACCTAACTGTATACCAAGTTGGTGACTTAATCACATATACAAAAATTATTTCAAGTGACACACCACCATTTTAAGGACATCACTGATGGAATACATCCTAAAAACAAAATCTTTCAAGGAAATCTTAACAGTGAAGTAGTCATGTTGTTAGTGGCAATGTGATCTTATTTTGATAAATTTTATGTATCTCAATATATATTGTAATATTTTAGAAGGATTTCCAACATAAGAGATAAAACTACAAATCAAAGAATAAAAAGCTTATCTTAAATACCCAGTGATATTTGATATTTTTTCATTCATGATTTGTTTCTTATGAATTCTCATGTTCACAAAATTACTATATATTTCCTACTTGTTTCTTTTTTTTTAAAGTAGGCTTCATGCCCAATGTGGGGCTTGAACTCATGATCCTGAAAATAAAGAGTCATATGCTCTACTGACTGACTGAGCCAGTCAGGCATCCCTATTTCCTATTTTCTAAAAACAAAAACAAAAACAAACATATTATCACCCATTTTGTTCACTCAGGCCTAGAAACAATGACAACCTTGTAGCAATTATCATCCTTACGACCTGAACTATGACACTTATATACTATCTGCTATCTAAAAGGACACCCTGGAGAGTCTAGGTCAGAAAATACATAAAAGAAGCTTGAGAACTATGTCATATTCCAAAGGTAAGAAGCTCTCAAAAACTACTAAGGTGATGTAAAAAAGACTCAGGCGCTAAATTTAAGAGGTTTCCATTGGTTAGGGACAATCTTAGTGTTAGAAAAAATAACTACAATGGTCAAAAACGTACAAAATACAGATAAAAATTCCTAATTTCCTAATAACACTAAGAACTACCCCCTAGTATCCTTTTGAGGTTGTTAGAGAACCATGTTATTCTAAAAACTAAGTGAATAATGGGATGCCTGGGTGGCTCAGTCTGTTAGGCATATGATTTTTCATCTCAGCTCAGGTCTTGATCTCAGGGTTGAATGTTCAAGCCCTGCATGGAGCCTACTTACACACACACACACCCCCAAAACAACAAAACAAAAACTAAGTGATGAGAATTTATCTTGCTTTTCTTATATGAAACATATTTCAGAGTAAACCAATAGGTGATAAAGAAAAAAGCTTTCTATTGAGAAATCACAGTTAATACATAAAGAATGACAGAATTAGAAAGTCACCATTTTGCAGTTCCTAATAAAATAAGGGATCCACACAATCATCATTAATCACTACCTGAAAACCACTAGGCAAAGACCAATGGACAGGTTTATAACAATTAGTTGGAGCAGGCTCATGTGCACCTGAGCTTACTCATCAATTTGAAGAGGACAGATGTAGGACATCTGGAGATAAGGTTAAAACAGTATAGGTCTTCTGATGTGAATCATTAGGAAATACAGAATAATACATTAAGCCTTGCCTAAAAAACTGAACCAGATCTACCAGTTTATAGGAAACTAAGCCTTTGCTACCAGTCTGTAGAACACATGGAGGAAAAGAAGATAGAGTTATCTTCTAATTACAGATCAATGTTCAGAAAAAACCCTCGTGCTGTGACTGTGACATTTTAAATTGTCTCTTTCCCAAACATTAATGTAAGTATGAGAGATGATACAGCATATGATTAAATAGCACACTTACTTACTGTTTGATTTTGGACAATTTGTCTATATCATAGTTTCTTCATCTGTCAAAAAGGGATAATTCTTAAGCTCATGGAGTTGTAGTATTACATGAAGTAATAGATGTGGAGTGAGAATAGTACGTAAGCATTTATAATCAGCAGTAACAATTATAATTTTGAATATTATCATCAGTAATGAGTTTTTTAAAAATAATAATGTATTTTTAATAAATCCCAGAGTAATAGTAATTATTGGTAAAGGAATGATACAGAAGAAGGGCTAGGGGTTCCTAAAAAGAAATGTGTTTTTTATATATAAAAACTGCTAGGTTCAAAGTTTTCACGTTACTACTACTTTACTGTAGTATTTATGCCACTGTATAGGTTCTAATTAAACAGAGGCATATATTCACATAATTTATTAAATTTAAATCATTTTCCTCTTACTCAGATTATAATACAAGATGATTTTCTTACCTTATCCAAAAGGTGTATTATCATCGGTACAAGATTGGCATCAATTACTGCCTGAACCTGCTGCTGATTTCCTGCGGTGATGTTAGAGAGGAACCACACTGCTTCCTGCAGAACAAGGACCCCTTGAATATTTCTCATTAAAAATTAAAATCTACATCTGAACTAAATTCACTACATTTGTTACAATGTCCAAATGATTTTACTATGGAACAAGTTCTATAATAAAAATCTCAGGAACCTTAACTCCTCTATCCCCCCACCTTCTGTATTTTCCCTGAACAAATTGCTAATGGCCCTATATCAAGTCATAATGAACCAAACCTTCTGAAAATTCTTCAAAACAATGTTCCCAAACGTAAGACTCAAAAGAAGCTTGTCTGAACAAATACTAAGGAATCCATGAGCTGTAATATAGATAAAAATCCCAAAACTACTGTAAGTGAGATTTAGCATCCCCCTCACATAATGTGCTTTATTCTCTATTTTATTGTGATCAAGAATGCTAGTCAAAGTCGGTAAATCTCAACTATCCATGATAATGGAGACAAGAACATTGAAATAGTGTGGTATTTTAGTATACTTATTTGTAAGTCATTCACTGCACCATTTCTCTCAAGAGCTAAAGTGGAACCAGATGTTTGATTGCTTCATTGGTCTACCTTAATGATCTTTTTATGCTACCCTTTACACTTCGGTAGTGCTTACTGCTTTTGACAAGATGATGGTACTCAAGTGGTTCACAAGTTTCACAGACAACAAATGCACACTAAGACCAGTTAGCATGAAATAAGACAAAATATCAACCTCATATCCTATGTAGGATATTACTGTCATTTACCAGACATAAATTTATTACATTACTCAACGTAAATGGAAACATTTTCTCTATTTAAAAAAAATTAGTAAACACATTTTATTCCCTAAAGTATTAGTATTAGCTAATCAAGCAGGCTCTTTGGATCAGATCACAGGACCATGTTTAATGAACCTGTTAGAGATGTTAGGGTGCTAGGCTACTTAGGTGAGCTGTTCTTGGGTTATAATCATTGGCAATGTTGTAATCAACAGCCCGTGTATTTCTACAACAGCCTCAGATGCACTCCAATATCAGCATCACCAATCAGTGCCCCCTTTCAATAGCCTCCATGATCACACACACACACACACACACACACACACACACTATTAAGTATCTATAAAATATTAAGCTTAATTACATGACTCACACATTAGAATTTTCCAATCACACAACATTCAACACCCAATTATCTCTATTTCATCATTTCCAAGAGAGCCAAATTTGCATTGTTTACAACTGGTTTTATATACAAAAAAATCACAGAAATCCATGTTAAAAGAATAAAATATTCTAACTTATCTTGATGTCTAAATGATGGTTTACATTAATAATCATTATAGATACTTCTGAATCCCTAATTTTACAAATGAAAACTGCTGATACTTTGTGTGTTATTAGGCAGTATTTAAAAATACTTACTTTATTTATTTTCTCTTTGGGATGTGTCAGAAGTGCTGGGAAGTGTGAAAGAGCATCACAGTTCAAAACTACTTGTGTTTGCTCATCAGTTCCAGTAACAATGTTGCCCACAGCTCGAAGTGCTGCAGTCTGAAACAAAAGATGTAATGACATGTTCTATTATGAAAGATAACACTCTTTCATTCATGCCAACCTACTGTTTTTGAGCAACTGTCTGATACCAATTTAGGAACAAAGGAGTGAACAGGACAGGGTTATGGAGTTTACATTATTGTGAAAGACAGTCATAAACAAACAAATAAGGATAATTTTGAGTAGTAATTACGGCCATAAAGACAATAAGTACTTTGGATTTTTGATTCAGTGTTTCAATAAATTACAAACAAAAACACAGGGCTCTTCTGAAGGAGGGCAGGAACCTGTATGAGATTTCACTATCATATGAATTTGAATTACCAATTTTTTTTATAGTTGTATCAGGTCATTTTTTCTCAAGTTAGAGCTTTTATGGGGGGGGCTAATTTTAACATTTATAAGACAAATGACTCAGTTTCCCTCCCAAATTGAAATATAATTTATAGAACACAAAATTCACCCTTTCAAAATGCAGAATTCAGTGGTTCTTATACCTCCAAAGTTGTGCAACCATTATATGTAATTCCAGAACATTTTTATCACATCAAAAAGGGGTATCTGTATCCACTAGCAGTCACTCCCATTTCCCTCACTGGTTGGGGGGGGGGTTCCTGAAAGCTACGATGCCTGTGGATTTGTCTATTCCAGACATTTCATATAACTGGAATCAAGACAGTAGGTAGCCTTTTTTGTCTGGCTTCCTTCATTTAATGTAATGCTTTCAAGGTCCATTCATGTTGTAGCATGCATCGATACTTCATTCCTTTTCACAGCCAAATAATAGTCCAGTTATATAAGTGGAATGTATTTTATTTAAATATTCATTAGTGGATAAACATTTTGTTTTCACTGGCTATTAACAGTAATAGTGCCATAAACATTTGTGTGCCAGTTCTTGTGTGAACATCTGCTTTCAGTTCTCTTGGTTATATATACATCTAGGAGTGGAAAATGCTGAGTTATACAGTAACTCTGTACCTAACTTTCTGAGGTACTATCACACTGTATGCCAAAGAGGCTGTACCATTTTAATTTCCATAGATGTATAAGGATTCCACTTTTTCTACATCTTTGCCAAAACTTGTTAACCTCTTTTTGATTATATACATCCTGGTGTTTATGAAGTGGTATTTCATTGCAGCTTTGATTTACATTTTTTTCATGGCTAATGATGTTGAACATCTTCTCATGTGCTTATTGACCATTTGAATGTCTTCTCTGGATAACTGTATTTAAATGTTTTGCCAATTTTTAATGGGATTATTTTTTTTACTGTTGTTAAGAATTCTTTATTTGGGACCCAAGTCCCTTTTCAAATACATGATTTGCTCTTTCATTCTGTGGGTTTTCTTTTCACTTTCTTGACGGTCTCCTTAGAAGCACAAGTTTTTTAATCTTGATGAAGTCCAACTGATCTAGTTTTCTCCTTGGTTGCTTGTGCTTATCATATCAAATCTAAAAAATTGCTGTCTAATCCAAAGTCATGAAAATTAATGCTTATGTTTTCTTCTAAGAGGTTTACACTTCTAGCTCTTATACTTGGGTGTCTGACCTATTCTGAGCTAATTTTTATAAATAGGGAGCTAATTTCATTTGTTTACATGTAGATATTCAGTAGTCTTAGCTCCATTTGTTTAATTACCATTTCTTGAAAAGACTCCTCTTTGCTAATTGAATTTTCTTGGCATCTTTGTTGAAAATCAATTGATCATATGGGTTTATATCTGGAGTCTTTTTTTTTTTTTAAAGATTTTATTTATTTATTTGACAGAACGAGCAGAGAGAGAGCAACAGGGAGAAGGAGAAGCAGAGCAGGGAGACTGACATAGGACAGGGCTCCATCCCAGGACCCTGGGATCATGATCTGAACCAAAGGCAGATACCAAAGGCAGATACTCAACCCAGTGAGCCACCCAGGTGACCCAACAGGAACTGCATTTAACCTATAGGTAAATTTGAGAAGCACTGCCTTCCTAACAACACTGTCTTCTAATCTATGAACATGGATGTTTTTCCATTTATTTAAGTATTCTTTAATTTCTTTTAAAAATATTTTGTAGTGGGACACCTGGGTGGCTCAGTTGGTTGAGCAGCTACCTTCGGCTCAGGTCATGATCCCAGCGTCCTGGGATTGAGTCCCACATCGGGCTCCTTGCTCGGCGGGGAGCTTGCTTCTCCCTCTGCCTCTGCTGCCACTCAGCCTGCCTGTGCTCACTTGCGCACTCTCTCTCTCTGGCAAATAAATTAAAAAAAAAAAAAAATGTTTTGTAGTGACCTAGATTCTTTGACAAATAAATATAAAAGAGCAAAGAAAAATAGAATTGTAGAGTAACAGAAACTTAAGACAAAGCTACCAAATGCAATGTGTTAATCTTGTTTAGAGGCTGATTTGGTCAAACTGTGAAAAAATATGAAGCAATCAGTAAAATCTGGATACTGACTGGGTTTTAATATTAAAATTAAGAAATACGCTAATAGTACTGTGATATGTAAAAACATATAACCTCATTTTTAAGAGAAGCTGGACGAAATTATATGCTATCTGGGATGTGTCAAAGTAATTTGCCAGGAGGGAGCAAGTAGGGATGTAGAGGAAACCTACATGGTGGTTCATTACAACTATTCTCTTTTCCTAAATGATAGAGTTAAAGTTTAAAAAATTTTAAAAATCTCTACTAGGTATTGTGTAAAGTACAGAGGGCACTGAGAGCTGCTAAAGAAAATTTTCAAACCTATTTCTCAATGAAATCCAATATTAAAACTAATGATGCATTCTGAAAACAAAACAAAACAAAACAAAAATAACCAAACCAAAACCAAACCAAATACCTATACCAAGACGTAAGTACTACACTTAAGAAATGCAAACTTAATTATAATTATCTAGTATGAATATTTTATTTCTTTAAAAGTTTATTTATTTTTTTAAAAGTAATCTCTACACTTAACACAGGGCTTAAACTTACTACCCTGAGTTCAAGAGTCGCATGCTCCTCTGACTGAGCCAGTTAGGTGCCCCTATTAAAATATTTTAAATGTGCCACAAATACCCATAAATGGCAAACTATTTATTCGATTCCTGAATTCAGCTAAGTGTTCCCTCTTTCCTTAAACTACTTTAAATTTTACGGTTTGTATTCTCCATTCCAATTGTACACAAGTATCATCTGAAGAGCTTTTTGAAGCCCAGGTTTCTAGGAAATATCCCAGATTTATTAAAACAATCTCTAGGTGTCAAGGGAAATATTTTTTTTTCTTTAAGCTTCACAGGTGATTTTAATGTCTACCCAGGGTTGAGAAACAGGGAATTAGGTTAATAGTTTTTCCTTATGCTACTGCTGAATAGACTGTTAAGTCATCATATAATTAAAGCTTGCTGTATCTCCCTTTACCACTGCAGTTTGACAGTTACTCCTTATAATATTTGTCTGAACTTCTCACCCTCTCTTTTTGGCTCTTTCTAGATGCAGGTTTGGGATAAATATTTATGTGGAAGGATTTAAAAATAAAAGGATAAAACAAAGTTTAAAAAAGATTTATTTATTTAAAAAAGATTTTATTTCTTTATTTGGGGGGAGAAGGACAAGCAGACTCCTTACTGAGCAAGGAAATGCCTGGTGGCTTGGTCCCAGGACCCAGAGATCATGACCTGAGATGAAGTCAGATGCTTAAACAACTGAGCCACCCAGGCACCCCATTAAAAAAAGATTTTAAATAACTAAAAGGAAATTTAGGAAGCCCCTGATCAGTATGTTTCAGTATAAAGCCTTTATCACAGATAGTGCCAATGAAACGAAACGTTAAGGTTGCCCAGTGCAGTATGGAGAGTTAAGAAAAAGAGGGGAGAAAGGAAAAGAGTAGGAAAAATGAAGAAAAATAAGAAGCACAGAAAAAAACAAAGTATCAGTACTTGTTTCAGATGCCACCCAAGTTACCATGTGAATTTCCTAGGTCTACCTTAGAAATCAGTAATCTACTAAGGAGATGCCCTGGGTGAGGTTTTTGGTGGGGTATAAGAAAAGGGAAGGGGAGCAGTTTGGAGGCATCTTTGAGCTTGCTGAGTAGACACCATGAGCAAAGCTCACCCTCCTGAGTTGAAAAAATTTATGGACAAGAAATTATCATTGAAATTAAATGGTGGCAGACATGTTCAAGGAATATTACAGGGGTTCGATCCATTTATCAATCTTGTGATAGATGAATGTGTGGAGATGGCAACTAGTGGGCAACAGAACAATATTGGAATGGTGGTAATACGAGGAAATAGTATCATCATGTTAGAAGCCTTAGAACGAGTATAAACAACGGATGTGTTCATCAGAAGAATTAACTGCTTCCACATGTCCCCTCTCCATAGTACCTGTTTTACTACAATATAAAAATCAGATTGTGTGCGTTTTCATATTGAGCTTTTTTGTTAAATAAATTTTTGTAATAACCAAAAGAAAAAAAAAAAAAAGGAAGGGGAATGGTTCTTGTTGACCTATAGTGATCTTACCTCACTTTCTCCATCTTTAAAATGGGGACTTAATACCTCATTCTTTTCATCAAAGATATGTTCTTGTTTTATTTCAAAAAGATATCTGCACCCCTATGTTTTCTGTGGCATTACTTACAATAGCCAAGATATGAAAGCAACCCATGAGTCTATCGATAGATGAATGGGTAAAAATGTGGTGTGTGTGTGTGTGTGTGTGTGTGTGTGTGTGTATACACACCAATGGAATATTAAACATAAAGAGAATGAGACCTTGTCATGTACAACACCACATGGATGGACCTAAAGATGCTAAATGAAATAAATAAGAGAAAGAAAAATACCATATGATTTCACTTATATGTGGACTCTAAGAAGCAAAAGGAATAAACAAAAAGCAGAAACAGACCCATAAATACAGACAACAAACTCATGTTTGCCAGAGTGGGGGGATGGGCAAAATGGGGAGTGGGAGAGAGAGGCTTCCAGTACTCTGATGAATAAGTCAAGGGATACACAGTATAGCATAGAGAATATAGTCAGGGGTATTATAATAGCATTATACTGTGAGAGATGGTAGCTACACTTGTAATGAGCACAGCATAACTTACAGAGAAGATGGATTGCTATGCTGAATACCTGAAACTAATGTAACATTGTGTGTCAACTATACTTCAATAAAAACGATTAAATAAAAGATTTTTTTTAAAGATTTTATTTATTTATTTGACAGACAGAGATCACAATTAGGCAGAGGCAGGCAGAGAGAGAGAGAGGGAGAAGCAGGCTCCCTGCTGAGCAGAGAGCCCCTTGCGGGGCTCAATCCCAGGACCCTGAGATCATGACCTGAGCTGAAGGCAGAGGCTTAACCCACTGAGCCACCCAGGCGCCCCTAAATAAAATATTTTTTAAAAGATGTGTTATTAGGGACACCTGGGTGGCTCAGCTGGTTAAGCCGCTGCCTTCAGCTCAAGTCATGATCCCAGAGTCTTGGGATCAAGTCCCACATCAGGCTCCTTGCTCAGCAGGGAGCCTGCTTCTCTCTCTGTCTCTGCCTGCTGTTCTGTCTGCTTGTGTTCTCCCTATCTCTCTGACAAATAAATAAAATAAAATCTTAAAAAAAATTTTTTTTTAATTAAAAAAAAAAGATGTGTTATTAGGCTAGAAATATACTTTAAACTAATGAAATTGTCCATTTCTGAATGCCATGCTTAAAGCAAATTAGTGGTAAACAAAGCAAAACACCTTATATTATTATCAACAACAAACTCACCTGAACTTTAACTTCCTGGTGGCTGAGCAGAGGAACCAAGTGAGGGACTATTCCAGAGTCTATTACCATCTGTATCTGTTCATTGCCAGCATCAGTAAGGTAAGAGAGGGCCCACACTGTATCTACCAATATCTAATGGATAAAATGAAAATTCAAACAGTCTTTGAATATTTTCTCACTTTAATAATTCTTAACTATAGTTAACTTATCAATGATTGTTTCACTACCTTTCTTCCTTTTTTGTCTCACCTCAATTCACTGAAATCTTAATCTGCTCTATAATACTAAACACCATCATCTATCTCTGAATGTCTGTGTCAAGTATGTGCATCTTTTAGCCATATTTAGGATGCTTCAGTTAATTATGACCCCAAGCACAGGTTAGTGTCCAGTCTCTTCTTTTCTTTTTTTTTTTTTTTAAGTTTCCAGTCTTAACTCACAGAGTTTGATACATCGTTCATGAAATAGGAGAAAAAGACACGGTCTTTTGCAAATGCTCACACTGAGGCATAATAGGTCCAAAGACATTGTAGTAAGTACATATAGTTGTAAATACTGTATGTATTCAACATACACAGTGATTCAAAACATTGGGGCTAGATGTATACATTCAAGTTGTTTTCTAGTATCATTGGTATAATGTAGGTATGTTTAAAGCCAGTATTTCAGTATTAGGAGTATAGTAGTTTCATCTTTTCCAATCAGTTTGCTTTGCCTTAAAAAACTGGAGGCAACTTCTCATAGTGGAAGCATCCCACAGTTGCAGATCAAGACATTAAAAGCAACCATAGATCAATCTGTGTGATCTATAATCAAAAACATTCTAGTAAAAAAAAAGAAAAGGCATAATTTACAGCATTTGCCAAAACTATTTATAAAAAACTCCTCTGCAATTAAATTATACTAAAAATTAAACTATCATTTTAAATGTTAGAATTCTTAATGAACCTTACTGTGAAGTTCAGCAGGCCATTGTGTTTCACCTTTCTTTTGTATTAAGTCATAATTAGAAGTTATAACCAAAAGAAAGTATGACAACTGTTGAACTGTTGCATAAATAGCAGAGTTACCGACAAATATACAGGAATAATAACTGTGCCTGGAATTTTACTTCTGAAGCCTTTCTGGAATATGAACTATATGTGTCAAAAGACAAGTCAGAAAATTTTGAAACCTTTTAAATTCTAAACTAATGTTATGTTTAAAACATCTGAGAATCTCCTAGAAGAAGAAAACAACACTTTGCCACTGTTTCTTTCAAAAACTCAATAAAGTTCTTTGGCTATTTTTAATCTAAAAAGAACACACCAAATCAAAGAATTCACACACATGAAGTGGTTATCAAAATTATGTGAAAGAACTAAATTTCAACTTACAAATGTGAATCTTTTTTTCAGAGTACTAACATATGCCAAAATTTGTTGATAGAGGCAAAAAATTTCAAGTTACTTCTCCACGACTGTACATAAAGTCCAGATACAATTTTTTTTAAAGGCCCAACACTAAACATGAATATGCTCACATCAAAATCACAATTTAAATAGACTTGACCTCTTACATACTTCTTGTATTGAAGTTAAAAGTCTATGATAAATTTATTAATTATAACTATACTGTAATTTAAGCGTTTCATTTATGATATGTAGAAGCAGTTTTATTTATTTTTTACTTCTTTCATGGTCTGGTTTAAGAATTTGCTGCTAAATGTTTACCTAAGAAGACTGCATTTTCAGTAAACATTATTATATAGTAAACTACTCAGTACATAAATTACTACAGAAGAACAATGAGACCGGCTTGAAAAATTCAAAATATATTAAAAGCCAAGAAAACAGTTATAATCTCAACTGGATTGGGGTAAACAGGTGGAAAGAACACAATACAATCTCTGAATAAGGTCAACCAAGATGTCTAGTTTTTGGTAGAGGTATAAACTTTGAGATTAATCTTCTTTGGAACTCATTTAAAAGTAAAATATTAAAATTTCTGGTTTAATAAAAATACTTGGCACTAAGGAGCAAACCCCCCAAATAGCTTTATATATATATATATATATATATATATATATATATATATATATATATATATATATATATATATATATATATATATATATATATTTTAAGGATTCTAGACTAACGGGATCTAAAACCAAGTATCTTTAGAGCAATGATCATGTTCACCTAATGAATTTTATACATTTTATCACTGCATAATGTAGTGGAATTCTAACTTTAATTTGTTCCATATGTGTTAGAGAGATCCTGGAAAAATGTATTACCCCAGAAACTGAAAAGGAATGAAGCAACCTATCAAACACGGGTCATCACCCCAAGCTGCTTTTAAGGAACCAAAGTTCCTGAATGTTGCTATGCACTGTATTCCTGTGATTTCTTTTACCTGTCATATTCCTAGCTTTTCTAACACAATGACAGCAAAGCTGGTTTTATAAGCAGTCAGATTCCCACTTCATTCATACTTTATGAGGTGCTTTTTCCTTTGCCATCTGTGTTGGTTAGAATGAATAAGGTATATTTATTATGCTTAAAATCTAGTCTGCACAAATTTTTTTCTTGTTTGGATATTTATGAGTTCTCTCTACAACATGTGAAACCACTATCACAGTCACTATAGATGGAAAAATATAGTAAAAATAAATTCAAGACCAACTGATATTCTTGGATTGGTGTATGCATATGAACACAAACCCATGCATAAGGCACAAGTATTTTTTTAATCTTTCAAATATGAAATATTATTAGGCCTATATATTCTCTCAAACACTGGTCAGGCCATCAAAATGAGCTTCCATAAAAAGCTCTTGACCAATCAAAGATATAATTTTAGTGAGATGGATCATTAACTGGCAACTTTAAGAACTTCCAAAATGAGTTTTTAACTGCCCCAACTCTCCATATACATTATTGCCCAGACCAAAATATAGTTGGGCTTGATTTCTTCACTGTAAACTGTATTTGTGATACAGGTAAAGACAAAGTAAATACAATAATAGTAAGCTATGTTATTACAACTCTTGAAATGGAAAAATCTAATCGAGTACATGAACATTATGGCCAGTATAACATTTTCTTCCCTATGTCATAGGGGCAACCCTAGACATACATATAACACACATAAAAAATACTCACATTTACGTCCGTGTGATGAATTAAGACACAAAGAGCTGGAAGAATCTGAAGAGAGAAATATATAGATTTAAAAACATACATAACGGTATCCAATTTAGTTAAAAAACAAAAAGACAAAACACAAAATATCTGTTTACCTCCTGAATGGTTTCCATTGGGGGTGGTGGATCTTTATGGCGACATAAGTTGACCATTACCCAAGTAACATTTCTTAAGAATGTTATAGGAATAGATGGACTTATGAAGGAAAGTAAAGGTTTCACAACTCCAAGACTTATGACATAATCTCTACACTGTGGTCCATCACCTGTAGGAAGGAGTGAAAATACACTGACAGTAAGGAATTAAGAAAACATAAAGCACTGGGTTGAATATGTTGCTTTCTGTATTTTAACCAGACACACTAGTTTTATATAGAAGTTTTAGACAACAATAACCAAGTTCTCATTTTAGGTCTCTTGAGACAAGAAAAGCAACATAAAGTAGTAAGATTTTTTTGCACATTATTCACTTATTCAATAGGTTTATAAATTGTTCACATATGTTTTTGTGCCATTAAAAGTTAGAAGCCTAAGTATCCTTTAGAGTACTTTGTGAGCAGAGGACTGTTGCTTTTATTTTCTCTCAATGGTACTCTCAGTTTAACAAACTTTTATGTAATTAAAAAAAATGTATGCATATATATCAAAATATTACTAGAAAAAAGTTGTAGAATTTATACTTATGATCCAATATCAGAGTACCAAAAGTATTAACTATAAATTACTCTACACATTAAAAAAACTACGCCCAAAATAAAATTCAGAAATAAAAAAATATGTCAAAAGAAGGAGGGGATGAATCAGTATCACTAAAGCCGTGGTTTCCCACAGTAATTTTTGGCCCTATCCAAATCTGTTAAACAAGCTCTGTGGATCCAGAATTGGGGTTTTAATAAGCCCCTTCGTATGATTCTGAAAATAGGCTAAAGTTTGAGAATCGCTGCCTTAGTGAACTGTCAAATGTAATTTCTGTATCTATAACATCACTGTAATTTCTAGCATTAAAACCATATTAAGTATTACATTCTACAAATGAAAACCCTTTTCCTTGCACTGTAGTATTTCGAGATAAAAATGCCTATTCTTTCGGTATCCATGTATTCTAATTATTTTACAATGTCACTGGAATTAAAAACCAAAGATCAAGATGTTGCATTAATAGTTATAAATCTAAAGTTGGTATGAAAGCAAAGGGGTGAAGGAATCTGGATACACAAATGATAGCATTCCTAACAGCAATATACCATATGTGAAGAACAGTTTATAGAGAAATTCTCCCATTTTAATTATGGAATGCTAACCATCCCCTGCATTCTATCTTTGCCCCCAAAGAGTAATATAGAAGAGGTACATGAAAGTAATATTGACTACTTCCATGCAAGAACAATAAACTTTAACATCAAGAGACATAATACAGTTCAGACCCCAGATTTTTTCCATTCTCTACTCACTGAAGGATAGTTGTTCAAATTTTTGAGTTTGGGTAAAGTCTGTTTATAGTTTAAAAACATATCTTGAAATATCAGAATTGTCTTTAATAATTCTTCTTACAATTATGTCAGAGAAAACCTGAGAGGTATGGTAATCATGGTATTTAACATTTAATGACCCTGTCTATAAAGCTACAAATACCTCCTCATGATGATAATGGATAACATTACTGTATTTTACTGTACTAAAATTCAGGAAAGACAGTAAAAATTTCAATTAAGACTCTTTTTAAAACTGTCATTATGGAGAAAAGGTGTTGGTGTTATGTTGTGCATATTCCTTTTTACTAGTTTCTATGACAGTGGAGAAAGTTAAGGAATAAAATAGATCCATCAACATAATAAAGGAGGGAGAGGAGATCTTTTATCACATACATATTTCATAATTACTGAAATAATTAAGAGTTGACTACATACTTAAAAAAGAGTTGACTATATACAAAAAGATACTATGGTATCATAATCAACAAAAATGTTCATTCTGTTTATTACAGGTTTATACTTAAAACAGCTATAATTTCTATAAAATTATTGCACAAAAACCAGTACTAAAAAGACACACTGTTTTTCTTTTTCAACTACTAGCAGTCATTTTTATTATACAGTATCTGATAACAATTGTTGGACTAGTATTACAAGTTTTATACAAACCTATGATATTTCCCAGTGCCCACACTGCTTGCTCACAGACATTTTGATGGGGTGAATGTAGAAGCCTCAGGAAAAGTGGCACGGCATCTGAAGGAGGAAAACATAAATTAACATTTAAGGTTAAAGACAGAGGCCAATTACATCTCATAATATTGGGGGGAAAAAAGGATTGGAGATACTATACTCTAACCAAAAGTCAATCTTTTCTTTGCTGAATCTAAGAAGAAAAGAACCTATCAAAAAATATATTTAACATATATATCTATTAAATGATTTTCTCTAGAATAACAGTAGTGGAAAACTTTGATTAGCAAACCACTTACCCAGCATCAAAATGACAGTTTTAAGATACAAATATCAAACAAATCAAGCTGGTAAATTTTCATTCATAATTAAACCTGAATGAAGTTCCAAATTAAAAATCAATTCCTAAAAATAAAGTAGATTAATTCATTCCTTACAGATTCAAGCATTATTCTCAAACTCAGAGAAAAAAAGGGACTCCAACTGTTGAAGTACCTTTTGAATACAGAAATTTAAAATAACAGAGGGTGCAGTTCAAGACGGTGGCTGACCTCACCTTCTACCATGGACACCAAATCTATAGCTACATATACAATAATGCCTTCATAGAAGCAGCCCAAGAGCTCCTCCACAACAAAGGATAAAAAAGTCACACTGAGATGGACAGTAGAGGCAGAGACTAAGGTCCTAACAAAGCTATGCCCTACAACCTAGCAGCAACCCACAAGCGGAGAGATTTCATAAATACAGAGCATATCCCTAAAGAGTGAGAGGTTAGAGCACCAAAATAGGCACCTGAACCCTGGGGACCTACACCAGAGACAAACTCCCAAAACGGCTGGCTTTGAAAACCAACAGGGCTATCATCCAAGAGCCCCAAAGGGCTGCAGAAAACCAGGACTATGCTCTTAAGAGACCACCTGCCCACATGCTCCAGGCTCCAGCACAAAAGCAGTGGGCTGAAAAGCGCCTAGAGCATATGTAAAGGAGGTCCCTGGCTAAGTTTAAAGAAACTCTGCCTAAGGAATGAGGGTCTGCTGGAACTTCCTCCAGGGATGGAGGTGCTGACAGGTGCCATTTTTTACACATTCTACCTTGCTAGTGATACTTGCACCACCCCTGCACCTCTGGCACAGAGCACTGCTACAGTTCCTCCCCACCAAACCCAGTGGAATAGTTCATCCTGGCCTGGCATGCCCCTGTGGCCCTGCCAAAGCTGGCAGAAGTACAAAAGTCCACATAAGGGACACCCCTTGAATGCTTGGCACTGGTAGCTGGGAGTCGGAGGGTATTCTGCATTTCTGGGCTCCACAGGAGTGAAACAATCTCTGGCAGGCTACCACCCCCAAAGGATAGCACAGATAGCTGACTGAAACACATGCTTCCAGTGACCATTCCTTCAAGACTGGGAGAGATAGCTGTTTCACCTAATACATAAAAACAAACACAGAAAGTCAAGTTACATAAGTAAACTGAAGAACAGAATGAAATAAAACCCCAGAAAAACACTTTACTGAAATGGAGAAAGTTTACCTGATAGAGTTCAAAACAATGGTCATGAAGATGCTCCCGAATCTTGGGAGAAAATGGATGAACACAGAAAAAATATCAGCAGACAGAAAATATAACAATGTACCAAACAAAAGTCACAGAGCTGAAGAACACAATAACTGAACCGAAAGATAGAGTAGAGGCATTCAACAACAGATAAGGATAAAGAGAAGGAAGGATCAGTGACCTGGAAGACAAGGCAGTGGAACTCACCTAAACAGAGCGGCAAAACAAAAAAGAATTTTTTATTTTGTTTAAAAGATTTTATTTATTGGGGTGCCTGGGTGGCTCAGTGGGTTACGCCTCTGCCTTCGGCTCAGGTAATGATCTCAGGGTCCTGGGATTGAGCCCCAAATCGGGCTCTCTGCTCAGTGGGGAGCCTGCTTCCTCCTCTCTCTCTGCCTGCATCTCTGCCTACTTGTGATCTCTCTCTCTCTCTCTGTCAAATAAATAAATAAATAAATACATAAATCTTTAAAAAAAAATTTACTTATTTATTTGACAGAGAGAAAGATACCGAGAGAGGGAACACAAGCAGGGGTGTGGGAGAGGGAGAAGCAGGCTTCCCACAAAGCAGGAAGCCAGACGCGGAGCTCGATCCCAGGACCCTGGGATCATGACCTCAGCTGAAGGCAGATGCTTAATGACTGACCCACCCAGGCACCCCACAAAAAAGAATTTAAAAAAGTGAAGATATCTTAAGGGACCTGTAGGACAATAGCAAGTGGAACAACGTTACCATAATGGGGTCCAAAAAGGAGAAGAGAGAAAGAAAGATACAGAAAATTTGTGAAGAAACAATGGCTAAAAACTTTCTTTACTTGGGGAATGAAAGAGATATCCAGATCTGGGAAGCCAGGAAAATTACAAATAAAATGAACCCAAAAAGAGCCATACCAACACACATTATAATTAAAATGGCAAGAGTTTATCTAAAGATAGAGAGAGTATCTTAAAAGTGGCAAGAGAACAACTTGTTGCATACAAGAGAAGTCCCATTAGACTATCAGAGATTTTTTAGAATAAAGTTTGCAGGCCAGAAAGGAGTGGTAAGATATATTCAAAGTACTGAAAGCACTGGCATACAGATGACCAACAGACAAATGAAAAGATGCTCAACATCACTGATTATTAGGGAAATGCAAATCAAAACCATGAGATACCACCTCACACCGTCAGAATGGCTAGAATAAAAAAGACAAGAAATAACAAGTGTTAGACAGGATGTGGAAAAAAGGGAACCCTCGTGCACTGCCTGTAGGCATAGAAATTGGAGCAGCCTCTATGGAAAACAGTATGGAGGCTAATAAAAAAACTAAAAAATAGAAGAAACTAGTACAGAAACTAGAAATACAGGATCTAGCAATTCCACTTCTGGGTATTTATCTGAAGCAAATGACAATAAATTTAAGAACAGTGCCCAGTATTTTCACCATAAGCATCTTTGCCACAAACATCTTCACCCTATAACTAATTGGCCATATGGCAATAATGCCATAAAAGATAAAATCACAAAAATAAAAGAGGGATATCCATTAAAAAGGACATAATGAAACATGAAAAATGCACTGACAAAATTAACAAGACTTTATTGCAAAATATAAAACATTTGAATACATTTAAAATGTGTGTAGATTCATGCAATTCTATGCAAATAATTGATTTTATTTTGCAGACTGTACCTAAGCACTTGTCCTCAAAGTTTTCCTTTCATAATATTATACATTTATTTTTCTTGTTGATTCTTCTCTTCATCTGGCATCACGTTTTCATTTTTTCCTAAAATTTCTTTCTTCCTTAAGAGAGGTATCAGTTTCTAAATACAAGGATGCATATTTGTAACAGCTTTGCATTACACTGTGAAAGTCTTCTACACTGTTCTTTGTTCTTAGCATATTACCACATGTTTATTGACAGATGTTCCAAAGTTCTATGAGAAATGTGGGTTCAAAACTCTATGGCACTATACAGACTATTACGAAGGCTAAGCTTTACTTACTATAAAAATGGGAGTACTGTGTTAATACAGAAATGAAAGTAAACTGTCAACTAGCTGACGAAATCAACAAACCATCAAATCAAACTGTCAACCAGTTATTCTTGTATCTTTAATGGTGAAATAGCCTTATGGCCAATTAGTTAAGTGGGGAAAATGTTTTCAGCAAATATGCTTATGGTGAAACCACTCAGAACCTCTGAAAATATATATGCACCCCTATGTTTATTACTACATTATTCACAATAGCCAATATATGGAAACAACCAAAGTGTCCAATGATGGATGGATGGATAAGATGTGTGTATGTACACGGACACACACACAATGGAATACTACTTAGCTACTGCCAAAAGAATGAAATTCTTGTATACAGGACATCAATGGACCTTGAGATACTAAGTGAAATAAGTCAGAAAAAAGAAAGACAAATAATGTATGATTTCACTTATATATGGAATCTAAAAAACAGAACAAATGAACAAACAAAACAAAAACTCGTAGATGCAGAGAACAGTGATGGCTGGCAGAAGGTAGGGCTTTTGGGAGATGAGTGAAGTACAAGGGAGTCCAGACATACAAACATCCAATCATAAACAAGTCAGTCATGGGAATTAAGTGTATAGCATGGTAACTGTAGTCAGTAATACTGTACTGCGTATCATATAATTTGATATGAGGATAGGGGAAACGAGATTTACTGTGATCATGTCTTGGTGTATATACTTTGAATCATTATGTCATATGCCTAGAACTAATTTAATGTTATATATGTCAATTACACCTCAATTAAAAAAATAACATCACACAGATCTTTAGGCAGGCCAGTGATACCTGTATACCATATAAGACCTCTTGAATCAGAAAGTGGTTCTGTTGCTTTACAACACCCTTTCTTTATAACAAGGATGGGAAACACAGAGAAAGGTCTGTACCTGAACAGAATACTACTACACTGAACAAATGATTATTCTATTTTTACTTTCTTCTGATAGTACTTAGAAAAATGCTATTTCCATACATGTAGGTCATGCTTTACTCAAAAAATCATTCATTCATTTATTATATCTGGTAAAATAAGAGATTGGCAGCGTTAAATTCTAAGGCTCCTTCTAATCCTGAAAAAAGCACATAAAACAGAAAGGAAAAAGAGTGAGAGCTTAAAATATTGTCTTGAGATTATAAAATTTACTAAAGAGTCAATTATACAAAATAAAACCAAAAAAACCAAAACCAAAGTCTATTTAAACCCTAAATTAAGCCAGTTTTATCATGATTTAAGATAATATTAATATTCTATATAATATTACAGCAGAAATGTCTACATAATTAAATGTTTACCTGGATAATACCTTTGCTCCTCTTTAAAATCATGTAGAAATTAGTGCTTAAGATTTTAATAAGCTTACACAAGTATACTGTTTACAACTCTGTGAAGAGCACTTTAAAAGTACCTTCTTTAAATTATTAATTTCTTTGATAGAAGAATTAAACAGTATTTATGAAAACAATACATTCAGTTTATTACCTCCAATAATAATTTCCCACTTATATCTCTTGGAACATAAAAAAAGCAATCCTGTAATAGTAACAATGAAAAAATTTCAAGCCATTTTTCAACAGGACTACTTTATACAAAATTTCTCTGACCCATATGATGAAACTCTCATTAAGAGACGCCAAGAGGTAGTATGACAATGGGAAAAACACCTTTATTTCTATGATATCCTATAAGTAAAATGTAACTACAATAATGTAATCTGCTACTATAATTAGAAAATGTTCTCAGATTTAGTAACAAATGAATTTTTGAAAAGAGAAAATGTCAGTCACTGGAATGATATGATCAAAGTAACATACTTTAGTTGGCCTATTTCAACCAACCTGTAATTGGATAGCTATTATTTTTTAATAAAAATAGCTTTATTCTTTTAAGAGAATCACTATTTTTTTTACTAACTTCTTTTTTAGAAATCACAATTTTATCTGTTAATCACCAACTTACTGGACTGAACTACTGCTTGAGTCTGTTCCGAGGTTCCAGATGCAATGTTTGTCAGAGCCCATGCAGCTTCAAACTGTAAAGAAGGACTAAAAAGAACAAATAATGTTGAACAGTAGGGATTTTTACATCGGCCCTAATCTAATATCTACCAACCATTCCTCCCTTCAAGCATTTTTTAAAGTATTAAATATTTTGTTTGAAAGTTATCGATCTATGCACCCAGCACTTTTTTAAAACCTCCAGTGACTATTTACAGTATCTCTTCAGTATAAAAAGCATACAATTTCCTCAGGTGTCCCATCTATTTTTAGTAAAAACTTTTTCTTTTTATAAAATTTTATTTCTTCATTTGAGAGAGAGAACTAGCACACAAGAACACAAACTGAACGGGGCCAAGGGGAGGGGGAAAAGGAGAGGGAGAAGCAGGCTCCCTGCTCAGCAGCGAGCTCCACCCCAGGATCAAGGGATCATGACCTGAACCGAAGGCAGATGCTTTACTGACTGAGCCATCCAGGCATCCAAAAACTCTTTATTTAGATAGCTGCATATGACTACCCAAACAGTTTCCTCAAGCACTTAACAGCCAAACTAGTGTTTGCGGATTTTCAAAGCTTAAAAGTTCAATGTATCATTCTCAAGTTCCTCTTCGGCCTTTATGTTCACCTCCTGGTGTAAACACACCTTGCACTGTTTTTCACTGGCTTTTCAACTCCATCATATAGCCCTTTTCTTTTTTCTTTAAAAATTGAACTACCAGAAAATCTTGTCTTGTGCAAAGGATACATTCTAAAATACTTCTTAATGTACTTACTTGTCATCTCTTTCAAGACAATGGACTAAAATAGGCAATATTCCAGATTTTATTAAGTCATCAATTGGTGGATTTCGATCACTGGACAAAAGCTTCCTATAAGAGACGTACACACTCTTGTGAAATTTAATGATATATAATTAAATTCAAATTCATACTTGACATAAAGATTACACAAATCCTCACCCATCTGAGTATCCTACAGAGCAATGTTTATGAAAGCTTAATCAGATCATTCTCCTATATAAACCAAGCAGCAGAATATGGCTGCATATTTACTACCCAATAAATGTAACCTTCTTGCCCTAGCTTAAACCCTCCACAAGTTGGCTCCGTCTTACCTAACTAATGAATCTTATTCTCTGTAATGCAACAATAAATCAGTTGTCTCACTATTTCAATCTCATTTCCAGGCTCTTCACATCCTATTTCCCACACTTGGAATGCCCTCTTTTCTGTCTATTCAAGCTCTATCTATTGAAAGTCCATTTAAATTTGTATGTTTTCACAATATCCTCTCTGAATTAAAGAACATTTACACAGCATATGCTTACATTTGTTGTTGAGTATCACCCTAATTTTAACATACCCTTGCCTTCCCTATTAGGTTCTAAAGTTCTCATAGAGCAAGAATTACACATGCTTTTTCACAGTATTTTCCACAGCACATGGCACAATTCTTAGCACAAAGTAGGAAATAACGCAGTCTTTCTTAAACTAGGTTCCAGATTTAATAAAATAAATTTCTTCTACTACTTCACTGAGGACATTCTTCAAGATTTAGAAATGGCCTTTCTTTTGAGTGCACAATGGTGCCTACAATATCTACAAAATATAATATAAAACCAGTTTGATGACACTGTCTAATTGATTTGCACTAAGGTACCAGCAATTCTAGTCACAGTTACTTTTCCAACATCAATGTAAATTCATAACACGTTAAAAAAGGGCAAACAAAGTCTTAGTATTATCGTGAAAATGAGTTTGATCTTGTGTACTTATAAAGTTGTCTCAGGTTCTCCTGGGGATCCAAAGACCATAATTCGAGAATATTGGCCTTAGGGGCCTTACGGCTTTCATTAAAATGCCTACTGAGAAAAGCTGGTCCAAAATTCAAATAATCAACTCTGGAAATGGTGAGAATAATGTATCAAAATTTCTTAATCATCCTATCTGTAAACATTAATTTGCCATTTTGAGATGTGAGTACTTCTATGATTTTCTTCCAATATAACCAAGTCCTAAGAAGTTCTTTTACATATAGTTGGCAATACTGTTAATTCTGTATTTTTCCCATCTGTTCTAGGTTATTTAAAATGAATACACAAAAGTAGGGAAACTCTAATAAATTTTTTTAATAAAAGATTTGTATACTGGCTAAGATACTGGATGGACCAGTGAAATATTCTCCCACTATGAAATTCTATGAGTAGGATCCATTACTTAAGTGTCTCTGTCCTACTAATAATAACACAGAGCATTATTCTTATATTTATAAATAGAGAAAGGAAAGACTGTATTATACTATGAGACAACCATGCCTTCTCCGACCTACTCATTAATACAAAAGTCTCAGAAGTTTCTCTGGTCCTCCCCTTAAAATATAGGAGCATACACCTCTAGAACATAGATCTCACAGCAGAAATATGCAACATAAGTTAATATTCCTACCTGGCAGTACACTGGCAAACTTTAGAGCCCTAAATCTTAATGTCTACTTGCCTGTACACTGCTGCAGTAAGCTTGTAACTCAATTTCTCATTTGATTAAAATAGGGATTGTGAAAAGAATTAGCTACCTGGGAAGGAGATGAAACATTTTTTTATAAAATTAAACCTGTTAATAAAAAGTAAAGTTTTATAAATAATGTTTTTCTATTAGTTGACAGCAATAACCTGTCAACACAACTCTTCCCTAGCATCTGTGTGTATTATGCAAGCTGAAACTGAAGTTTATTTATTTGTGAGTTTAGAAAACTGCTACCAATTTTAATACTCTAGATCACAGAAAAAATTTTTGAAGTAAATGTAGTTTGTCTATGGACTATTCTTTACTGCTTGTCATCAAAATTAAATATGAGTGACAGTACTACTGTACAGTGAAAACTCAAACAGAACTCCTGAGTAAGTTATAAAATTCAAATATGTCCCCAAAACTTAACTTACCTAGCAGCTTGAACTGCACTTAATTGAATTCCTTGGTTATCACTTGAAGCATTCTATAAAAAATTAAAACAATTTTTGATATAGATACATAATAATTAGAAATACAAATGAAGACGGGGGAAAAACTCAACTTACTTGAACAATAGCTTCTAGAGAGGTATTTTGCTGTGAAAAAAATTAAAGAAAAAACTAAGTTAAAAAGTCACCTTAAAATTCTATATTTATGTAAAATTTTTCACTGACAGTTTTTAAGCTACCAGAATAACAATAACTTACCACTCTATAATCGCCATCTATATCAGAATCTTCACAGATATCTTCATGTGGTACATTTCTTCTCTTTAAGAGATGCTCATCTCTTTTATTCTTAAAAAAAAAAAAAGATATATATCAAAAAAATAACTTTAGTTAAAAAAGCTAAATACTTTCATACAAAGAGGTTAGGCAATCCTGTGCCTACAAACTGAAATGGGAAGTGCCTTTTAAAAGTAAAATGCAAATGCAGAAAATTAAACCAAACTGTGACTCAAATATTTAAGCAACAAAAAATCTGAATTCCAAGCCCCAAATACTACATTTTTAATGAACCGTGAACTATGTAAAAAGAAATTAAAAAAACAAAAAATTGATTAAAAAAGACAGTGTGTAGTTTAAGCCAGAACCAAACATATATGTATTTATTTAAAAGTACTAAACCATTTTATACATCATCTGGGAGCTTCTCTTTATCACCTAAAAACAAAGTCAAAGCAAAAGTTGGGCAGTTCAAAATCAGACTAAAATCAACAATGCCTTACAAAAATCAAGGCCCACTCAAATTTCACTAAAAAATGTGCGGGACAAATTTAAAGATATACTCCCAAGTATAACTTTCTTTTTTTTACACACATGAAATATAACCTATTTTAATACTTGAAAAGCTGATGAAATTTGTAAATGGAACAAGTTCTTTTCAGAACTTGTGTATAACCACACCTGTAAGCAGCTGAACTATTTAGTATAACTGTATAGGCAAGACTTTCACTTTCTATAAATTATTAAAGATTACAGAAGAAAAACACCATATAACTCATTTATCTCTATTCTTGGGAGAGTGGCCAAGTTGTATTTTGCCAACTTCAATAGCCTGGTTAAGTTTAGTTAAAATCCTTCAGTTTTCAAAATAAAAAGAAATGGCAAACACTTGGGATTAATATACATTTAGTATCTTCTATATATGCTGTAATATTGTTAGAATTATGCTTGGAAGTACTCAATATTACTCAGACTCACCTTCCTTAATTCAACTACAACTTCATTTCGTTGTCTTCTCATAGTCTACAAGAAATTAAAGAAAAATATTTTTAAAAAACGATCTCAATTTCCATCACCCAGGAAAACCACTATTAACATTTCAATGTATATCCCATAAGCCTTTCTTCTAGTCATATGTAAATAAAGTCATATTTTACTCATAATAAAGATCATATTATAGACATGACTTTCTATATTAGATATACAATTTTAAAACTATAATGTGTAAGAATACAAAGATACAAAGAATGAAAGAACCAACCCCTAAGCTCACCTCGCATATGAATCATGGCACTTAAAGAAGTAATACATGTAACAAGGCTAATAAATTCAGCAGCTTAAAAGGAGGGAAGGTGTCTTCCTATCCATCCAGTCTCTTTCTCTAACAGTAAACACTGTTAGATTTACTGTGATTCTGACACACTTATCTACTTATTCTGTCTTTACCTTATTTTTGTTTACTTAATTTATAGATTTTTAGAGCCCTTCCATGGTGGTATAATACAGTAAATCTTTTTCATTATTTCTAATGACCACAAAATTTTTCTACCACATACTGTAACCATTCTCTTACTTCTTAACATGCGTTTTGCTCATTTTAAACCTCCCTAGTACACGGATTCATGCTTACTGTAAAACATTCAAACCTTCAGAAACAATACAAGTTTAAGCTCTAAGTATAAGTTCTCCTCATTCTTTCTAGTGACTGCATATGCCAGGGAGTAGAAATAGCAAGTCACAAAGTAATACTCATATATCTGATTAAAGACTTCAAACTTATATCCAAAACCGAACTTTTAATTTTTAACAAACATACATAACTCTATCTCATCTCACATGATTCATATGGGAGGTGAGACTGAGAGTTCTTTTATCCTTTGTATCTTTATTTTTATAAGGCTTATGTTACTGTTTAAAAAATTTATGACGGGGCACTTGGGTGGCTCAGTCAGTTAAGTGTCCAACTCTTGATCTCAGGGTCATGAAATCAAGCCCTGTGACAGGCTCTGTACTCAGTGGGGAGTCTGCTTGAGATTCTCTTCCTCTCCCCCCACTCATGGGCTCTCTTAAATGAATCTTTTAAAAAAATTTATGACATATTCAGCATTATAAATCTATTGATAATTTCAAAGGGATTTTTAAGCAAATGGCAGCTCTATCCTTCCAGATGCACAGACCAAAAAATTTATAGCCATCCTTGATTCTTCTTTTTCTCTCATGTTATACATTTGATTGTACCAAATCCTCCCACTGGTTCAACCTTCAAAACTTATTTGAAATCCAATTACATATACCTTCTCTGCCAGTACTACTCTGGTCCAACTCACCATTAACGCTCACCCAGATTATTGCAAAAAAGTCTCTGAACTTGTACCCCTCTTCCTGTTCTTGCCCTCCTCTGTATTCGTTGTTATCACAATAACCAAAGCAATCCTCACAGGTAATCTTAATTTTTGAGTCCCACAGTCTCCTTTGACAATCTGGTGAAATCAATGAACACCTTCCATATAGTGTTATTTATTATTTATTTTTTTTAAAGATTTATTTATTGAGAGAGCACAAACAGAGGAAGAGGCAGAGGGAGAGAAGAATCTCCAGTGGATTCCATGCTGAGTGCAGGGCCCAACACGGGACCTGATCCCACAACATATCTGAAAATCAAGAGTCAATAGCTTAAACCAACTGAACCACCCAGGCGCCCACAAATACTTTTTAAATAGAGATAAGAAATAGATAAGATTACAAAGAAAAACAATTATATTGATATATAATTGTAAAAAATATATAAATATGAAAAGACAAACTATAATATATGTGCTTCATTATCACATTAAGTGGGATCTAACAGTGAGTCTAGTAAGTACTGTAATTTCAAAGTAATGTTGACCTTAAATGATTTAAGAGATCCTGCAACAATAATGTTCTAACTGGTGGTGACAAAAAGTCACAGGTAACTTTAATAACTACTGTTTACTGGCTATATTATTAAATGAAGGAAAGTTAGAAGAACTGTTAAAAGTTAGTGAAAATAAAGAAGTAATTTTTTCTAAGTCTCCAGGTCCTCCTGAATTCTACCCATAGCCTCTGAGGAAGGACTTAGTAAAGAACCACTTTTTAAGAAGTCAGTCAGATCATGTCACCTGCCTGTTCAAAACCATCAATGGTGCTCCACTTTGGAGTAAAAGCCCAGTCATAAAAATGCTTTAAGTCCACTCAAATCTTCCTATGTTATTCCTTCTCCAATAACCACCTTTCAGACCTCAGCTCTATCATTCTCTTAATTCACTCTGCAGTAACTACACTAACTTTGCTATTCCTCTAACATTCTGGAAATTCTCTCTCTTCAAAGTCTTCACTAATACACTATGCAGCAACTCCCAAGGATGGACTCCAGAGCCAAATTGCTTGGGTTCAATTTTCAGCCATATTACTTACCAGCTCTCTCAATGCCTTTTGTTATCTATAAAATAAGGATAGTAAAAATATCTATTTCACAGGATACTATAAAGATTACGTAAGTTAATATATGTAAAGGAGTTAAGTAGCTCCTGGCACATAACAGTGTATGTGTTAGCTATCCTTATTTTTGCTACTGCTAATTCCTCAGGCTGTAATGCTCTTCCCTCACTATCTGCAGTGCTCACTCTCATCTTTCAAATGTCACCTCCATGGTAAGGTCTTTCCCTTCCTACCCAACCAGCAACTCTCCTGCTGGGTACTCTCTATTCCTCTTCTATTTTTCTCCATACTACTTATCACATACCAATATGCTATACGAAACTTTGTTATCCTCTCCCAACTAGAACGTAAGTTCACTATATAAGGAACAACATAAGGAATAAATATTATTCCTTCTTAAAATGCACTGGGTAATCTTTTATGTCCAGAAATCTTTACTTCAATTTTTGACCAAACCAATTTATTCAATCTCTGTTTAAGTGAACTTCTGATGATCATTTCAGTTTTGGTACAGATATGTATTTTAAAAATACCCAAAGAATGAAACCGGACCACTTTCTTACACCATATACAAAAATAAATTCAAATTGGGTTAAAGACCTAAATATGAGATCTGAAACCATAAAACTCTAGAAAGAAAACATAGGTAGTAATTTCTTTGACATCAGCCATAGAAACATTTTACTAGATGTGTCGCCTCTGGCATGGGAAGCAAAACCAAAATTAAACTACTGGGACCTACACCAAAATAAAAAGGTTTTGCACAGTAAAGGAAATTATCAACAAAACAAAAAGGCAACCTACTAAGCAGGAGAAGATAAAATGACATATCCAGTAAGGTGTTAATATCCAAAATACATTTAAAAAATCATCTACAACTCAACACCAAAAAAGAACAAATAATCCAATTAAAAAACGGGCAGGGGGAACTGAATGAACATTTTCCCAAAAACATCCAGATGGCCAAGAGACACATAAGAAGATGCTCAACATCACTAATCATGAGGGAAATGAAAATTAAAACCACAATGAGATATCACTTTACACTTGTCAGAATGGCTAAAATTGAAACCACAAGAAATAACAAAGTGTTGGTGAGGATGTGGAAAAAGGGGACCCACGTGTACTGTTGTTGGGAATGCAAACTGGTGCAGCCACTGCAGAAAACAGTATGGAGGATCCTCAAAACCTGAAATTGGCAGTATCTTACAACCCAAGAGTATCATACAGTATCATACAATCCAGGCAGTATCCTACAATCAAGTAGTGGACTACTGGATATTTACCCCCCAAAACACAAAACACTAATTCAAAGGGATCCAGGCACCCTTATGTTTACTGTAGCATTACTTTCCAAAAGCTAAATTATGAAAACAGCCCAAGTGCCCATCAATCAATGAACAGATAAAGAAGATATGAGATACACACACATATACAATGTTATTTGGCCATAAAAAAGAATGAAATTTTGCTATTTGCAATGACATGGATGAAGCTAGAGAGTATAATAAGCGAAGTCAGTCAGAGAAAGACAAATACATTATTTCACTCATAAGCAGAATTTAAGAAGCAAACCAAATGAACAAAGAACAACAACAAAAAAAAATACAGAAAACAATCTGCTGGCGGCCAGAGGGAGTTAGGGGAGAGATGGGTGAAACAGGTGAAGGGGATTAAGAGTACACATACCATGATGAGAAGAGAATTGTTCAATCATTATATTGTACATAACATTGTATGGTGATTATATTTGAGTAAAAAAATATATAAACAAAACTCAAAACCCCTGCAAACTGTTTTCCAAATTGGTTGTATAACTGTCCATCCCAATAACAGTACCTGAGAGTTCTAGTAGTTCACATTCTTTTTTTTTTTTTTTAATAAACATATAATATATTTTTATCCCCAGGGGTACAGGTCTGTGAATCGCCAGGTTTACTAGTCGTTCACATTCTTATCAAAATTTGAAACGGTCACTCTTTTTCATGTAGTCATTTTAATAGATATGTGGTGGTCTTCATTTCCCTAATGATTAATGATACTGAACAACTTTTCATGTGTTTTTTCTTTTCATTGTTTATTTAAAGTAGGCTCCATGCCAAAATAAGGCTCGAACCCACAACCCTGAGATCAAAACCTGAGCCAAGATCAAGAGTTGGACACTCAATCTACTGAAGCACCAAGGTGCCCCTCCTGTATTTATTTTCTATCTTACATTTTCTTTCATAAAGTCTTTTGGAATCCTTTGCCCTTAAAAAAAAAACACTCAATAAAAAAATACCAACAAGACAGGTTGCAAAATGAATAAAAAAACTTAGCCAAGTACTATAATAAAAATTTCAACATTCACTATCCTTTAACTATTACAGCCTTAAAAGGTTAAAAAATTTTGTTTTTTTTTTTTAATATATAAGGAAACTAAGGTGTAGACAAATTAAATTACCTGGCTAAGATCACACAGCTAGAAGTGGAATAGCTAGGATGAGAATTCAGATGGTCTCCTATAAAGCCAATTAACCAATAAGCCACACTGTCCCCCCCAAGTCTTAAAGTTTAAGCCAATC